GGACGCAGCGGGAGGGACTTTGGGAGGGGACTGAACTCCTCCATCCAACAGGTCCCCTACAAACCATTGGAGCTGGAGCTGGCTCAGCTGTTTTTGGAGCTGGCTGGAGAGGTGAGGAGGGGTCGGGGACTGGGGTGTCTGGCCAAATGATGCAAAGCTCCCTCTCTTCCTATGTGTCAAAAAAAAAAAAAAAAAAAAAACCAAAACCAAAACAAACAAAAAATCAAAAAACCAAAGAAACGAACAGAACTGCAGAGCAGGGTGCCCTAGAACAACTGCATCTTGCAGGCCAGGTTGGCCTCCTGCAGGTAACCCAGTGCTAGGGTTACAGACTCGAGCCACCATGCTGGGGCTTTGGGTGTCCCCCTCTACTTCCATGATGCTTTCCTGTTAGTGTTCCTCTGGGCGTGCTGAACGATCTCCCTTGCCACCGGGATTTCTCCATCTGCCCCTGCTTTCTCTGGAGGTTCAGACCCCCGGCCAGAGTCTTCCTTAAGTGTCCTCCTCCGTCATCTGTCCACTGTGGGCTCCCACAGCCAGTGTATGGAGCCCTAACCATCGCTGTCGTGACCACCCAGGGGCTAGACCTGCCTCCTCTAGCTGAACCCTACGAAGGTAGCCACCGCTACCTCCGCACTACGGAGCACAAGGCCTGGCCCAGAGCCTTCGTTAGCTAGATGATTGAACCAGTGGCCTCACAAGTAGCTCTTTCTTGACTAGGAGGAGGAACTCGATGCACTTCAGCTGCAGACCTTAATAAGCATCGCTCTGGAGCCCGGTGAGTTTGGCCAGGGGAGGGGGTCTCTGCAACTGGAGCGGCTCACCCAGAGCCTTTATGCATGATGCAAGGGGAACCAGGGCTCAGCTTGAGCTTCCTCTTCCTACGGTCTCATGGTCACATAAGGGCCACAATCACTCACGCCTCCCCCCTCCCCGTCTTCCCCTAAGAAGCACCATGTGCAAAGACTTGGGACCCCAGCTTTATTGGCTTTGTCAGGCGTGACTCTGCACCTGTTCCTATAAATGCCCACTGTGGGAGTTAGTCCACATAGCTCTTGCGATGTTGGTCCATATGCAAGAGGTGTCGGATTTCTTTTTTGTAGCTAGGGCCAATGCCAGGACTTCTGGAGAGATTGGGCTCAGGACCTGCGAGCAGCTTGTGCAGTGTTTTGGGGTATGTGAGACAGTGTATGGGGAGGAGGGATGCTGGGGTTCCCCCTTGCCTCTCATGGGATATTAATTGTAACCAGATGTCCTCATCTGCAGCATGGGCGAAGGTTGGCCCTACACCACTTCCAGGAACTCTGGGGCCATCTCCTGGTATGGCAGGTAAGGTGAGCTTAGGGACCAGCTACCTCTTAGAGCAGTGGTTCCCAACTTTTCTAATACTGGGACCCTTTAATGCAGGTCCTCTTGTGGTGACCCCAACCATGTTGCTATTTCCTAACTGTAATGTTGCTACTGTTATGAACTGTAAATATCTGCTATGTATGATGTCTGATGTGCCTGTAGAAAAGGGCTGACACCCAAAGGGGTCTCAACACACCAGCTGAGAACCTCTCTGCTCTAGACACTAATGTCCTGCAGGCCACCAATGGAGCACTGGACCTCCCATGCCAACTTGGGAGTGAAAAAGATATGATGCGGGGCTGGAGAGATGGCTCAGTGGTTAAGAGCACTGGCTGTTCTTCCAGAGGTTGAGTTCAATTCCCAGCAACCACATGGTGGCTCACAGCCATCTATGAGATCTGGTGCCCTCTTCTGGTGTGTGGGCACACGTGGAGGCAGACTGTTGTATAAGTAAATAATGAAAAAAGAAAAAGATATAATGCTCTTGTCACCCCACTGTGGCCCTCTGAGAGCAGGAACTAGACTGGTCCAGAGCTGCTGCTGGTTCCTGTTGGAATCCATTCCTAACTCAGCTCCTTCTATAGACCTGTCACCTCCAAGGAGCCTTTGCTTAGCTACCAGTGGGTACTCCTTCAAGTGAGGGGGAAGGAGTAGCTGCAGGATCCTGAGACCATGACCCCCGCCAATAAGCCCTCCCCTAAGCCTTTGTGGATAGAAAGATTTGAACTTGTTCCCAAAGGCCTGCCGGGAGCTTGTTGTCTTGTGAGATACACATTTGCACAGAGGTCCCCAGCCAGGAGCCAGGGGAGCGGGGGCCTCAGAGGCCCTATCTTGACTACTTCACAGTGCAGTATCAGTGCTCAGGGATCTGAGTGGAATTCCCTCCCGTCTATCTGCTTCTTCACCCTCCAGGCCACATTTGACAAGTTCGATGAAGATGCCTCTGGGACAATGAACTCCTATGAGCTAAGGCTGGCCCTGAATGCTGCAGGTATGGATGGGGACCTTCCGGGATGCTTGTAAGGACAGCACCTACTCCTCCTCTCAGAACACCCCTCAGCCTGTGGCCATCCCAGACTGGGGCTGTTCCCAAGGACCAACACTAACTTCCTTCTGTGGTAGCTCTGGGCACATAGCTGAGTTTGCTTCTGTGACATGGCTCATGTGTAGGGTGGAATGCAAGGACAGTCATTCTCCAGTCACAGAACATCCCAAAGCACTTTCCAAGGCTACTGCATTACAGCAGAGGAGTCCCACCCAGGACCCTAAGCCATGGGGAGATGTGTGTTAGGGGACTTCAGTGGGACTGCTGAAAGCTTCTGGAAGATGGCTGGGTTCATGCTTCTAACTGTGACCACCAAGTAAAAGGCGCCAGGGAGATTTGGGGGTGGAACAATTGCCCAGTGGAAGAGATAGACTCCAAGTACGAGATCTGGAGAAAGTGGCCAAGAGTCCAGGAACATGTAAGACATTATCCGGAAGAATCAGAGTAGAAAGCTAGGGGTCAGGGTGTTGAACCCCAAAGAAGCAGGACACAGGATAGACTGGAGGACGGGAGTTCACTGGATCACCTATCCAACCATCTGCCCCCTTCTCTGTGTCCTGTGCTACTCACCTCAAGTGAGTGGCACAAACCAAAGGTTGTTCCACACAGAAGGAACCTGATAATGTCTTTTTAGGAATATTCAGCAATTCTAGTAGGTTGGTTGAGGGCTCTCAGGTCCTTCCACCCCATCTAGCCAGGTTTTCCTTCAGCACGGCCTGGACCAGCATATGCTAATATGAACGGGTACATGAACATCAAAGGGAGTGACCTGCCTCAAGCAACCTAGCTCTAGGCATGGTGTTTGTGTGTGCGGTGGGACCTGGAGTTGAGTGAGTGAGCACACAAAGATTCAGTGCAAACTTGTACAGTTATCATTGGGACTGTAAGGGGCATATAGAAGTCCTCAGGCCTTGGGGCTCTTGAAACCTCACTGCGATTCTACAGCAGAGGTGACAAGGCCCATGACTATACCTTTAGGCGTGGCTTCACAAGAGAACTACACAGTAGGGTTCTCCAGTGTTTCAGGCAGGGAGACAGCCAGCCTCTGAAGGAACAGCCACAAAGCTAGCCGCAACTGTTGGTACCTTGAGAATCAGAGGCAAGATGGCAAGTTGTAGGTCAGGTAACTTAATGTTTCATAAAATACACAAAAGGGCTGTGGGGTGGATGCAGTTCAGCAGGAAAGCCCCTGCCTAGAATCTCCCAGTGAGGGGCTAGAGTGTGGCTCAGTGGTAGAGCCCCTGCCTAGAATCCCCCAGTGAGGGGCTGGGGTGTGGCTCAGTGGTTGAGCCCCTGCCTAGAACCCCTCAGTGAGGGGCTGGGGGCACAGTGCAGTGGATAGCACTTAACATGTGCAAAGGCCCAGGTTCTCTCTCTAACATACCAAAACAGCAACATAAAGCCCAGACTGCATTTGCAGAGTGCTCACCTCACATCTAAGTTAATCTCAGGCTTTAAATCTCACACTTGGAAGGTAGAGGTAGGAGAACCAGTTGATGACCATCCTTGGCTACTTAAAAGGAGTTGGAGGCCAGCCTCGCTTAAACATAACACAAAACGGAACTCAGGGCCAGGGATATGGCTTAGGTAAAATACTTACATATTAAAGTATAAGGGTCAGAGTTTAGATCTCCAGTACCCATGTGAAGGTCAGGGGACACTGTGGCCCACCTAAATGCCCAGCATTTGGGAGGAGACAAGTGACCCCCCCCCCAGAGGAAACTTGCTAGCTAAAAGAAACTGGTTTGAATTCAGGATTTCAGTGAGACTTTGCGTCACACAGTGGAGTATGACTGAGGAAGACACTAAGTCTTTAGTTTGCACAGGCACACACACTACATAACCTACCCCCCCCCAATTCAAACAAAAAGCAGCACACAACCAACACAGCCTCCTCCTAGGCTTCCACCTGAACAACCAGCTGACACAGTCCCTTACTAGCCGCTACCGCGACAGCCGGCTCAGAGTGGATTTCGAACGCTTTGTGTCCTGTGCAGCCCGGCTCACCTGCATCTTCCGTGAGTGCTGCTCCTGGCTGGGTGGATATGCTGGGGTGTGCCTCAGGACTAGTGCTGGGTACTCACCCTGCCTCTCAAACACAGGTCACTGCAGCCAACACCTGGATGGTGGTGAGGGGGTCGTCTGCCTGACCCACAAACAGGTGAGCTAGCAAGAGGGACAGGGTGGTTCCAGCACCCTCTTGAGGCCTCTGCTTCAAGGTTCTCTCTCTCTTTTCTATTCAGTGGTCGGAGGTGGCTACCTTCTCCTAGGCCAGAAGCTGAGGGAGGCCACCCTGCTCCAGGTCTGAGCTGTCCTGTTTGGTACCAATGGTGGAAACTGAACCTGGACACGCACCCTCCTGGGGCTAGTCCCAACCCACCCCTGCACAGGTGGTGGCACTGGTGTCTTTCTTCTGGTGATGTCTTCTCAAGCACTGGGATTATGGGCCCGAGCTTCCAAACAGAACCGCCTTCTTTCCTTTTGAAGCCTGCACATGCCAGTCCCTGTTTAGAAAGGCCCACATCCACACATGGGTGTACGTGGTGGGCCCTGCAAGCTCCCTAGGGTGTGACAGCAACGCAGAGAAAAGATGGCACTAGACTCCTTCTTAAAAATATTACATGTTTTATTCTCCCATCCCCAGAGGGCGGTTTATCCAGAAACCAAGAAAATAAAAATCAATCAGAATAAACTCAAAGGGGTGAAACCCATCCACTACCAGGCAGGCAGGCCAGCAGCCCACCTCCACCTCAGGAGGTCCCCACAGACCCCTGCCCACCGCAAACAAGGGGAAATCAGGAGGGTACTGGGGAGGGCATCGAATCAACTATGTCTTCATTACGAGAGTGAGAGAGGTGGCAGAGATATGCGGCTAGATGGATATATATTTATATAATAAATCCGTAAGTTAATAAAGTAAATAGTAATTCTCTGGAAGTTTTTAATTTTTATAGTTTTTTTTAATAGGTTTTTAGGTTTTTTTTCTTTTTTCTTTTTTTTTTTTTTAAAGATTTTTTTTTTGTTTGTTCCATTCTTTGTGTTTTTGTTGGTTTTGGTCCTTAAAAATCTGAGACCCAGAGCCCAGATGGGCTGGGGCTGACTGCCCCACCGGCACTCCTGGAGCAGAGGGATGATGGCAGGTCCTCTGCTCCTGGTAATCACAAAGGGGAAAGGGAGGTGGGAGAAAGGAGCCACTGACATCTGGTCCAGGGGAGCGGGGTGCCCTCTGCTGGACTTTGCAGGGCAGGTGGTTCCTGGACAAGGCACATGGGGCTTTGGCCTGGATGTGAGGGGAGGCCTTGAAGGGGCCTCAGGGGCAAAGGAGGGGACCTGGGTTGGAAAGGTGTCTCTGGGACACAGAGGGTGCCCAGGGGTCCGGTGTCCCCTCCACATAGGTTAAAACCCGACAACTCACCATACATATATTTAGCAGACCAGAAGTGCTGATCTCTAGGCCTCCCTCCCCTGCCTAGCCCCTCCCTGCCTGACCCCCTAGAAGGACCATAAAGAGCTCTTTGCATAGATACAGAGTCAGGATTGGGCAGGGCTCCTCAGCCCCTCCGGGAGGCCGAGGGAGTCCAGTCAGGGTAGCTGAGGGCCTTACAGGTCGCTTTCCCCGTAGAGGGCCGTGGAGAAGGACTTGTAGTCGAGGGCGCCAGGAGCAGCATCAGGCCCCTGGTAGGGCGCCATGCGGGCGATGCAGTACTCTGCCTGGTCAGGGGGCAGCTCTCTCCGCAGCTCCTCAGCAGTGATGAAGTTCTGGAGGCACAGGACAGGACTCTGAAGTACCCACTTCACCCACTTGACCTAGTGCCCAGTGTAGGCTGAGGTTCTGATCACTCGCCCCAGTGCTTCTGTAGGCCCTGCTCACCTTGTCTCCTGCCAGGACCTTGAAGGAGGCGATGACCTGATCGGCTGTGTCTGTGTCTGTGGTCTCTCTGGACATGAAGTCAATGAAGGCTTGGAAGGTCACGAGGCCACTGTGGTTGGGGTCGACCACACTCATGATACGGTTGAACTCAGCATCACCCTGTGCAGAGGGAGTAGGGAGGGTACACATGACTTAGTGAGGCTGCTTACAAATCCAGTTTTGGAAGAATTCAAGAATAGAAAGGTCATGCCATCAGCCTGTTGGCCACAGCCTGGCTGTACCAGGCCTTGGGAGTTTGTCCCTTGGTCTCCTCCCCCCATGTTTGGGTCCACTGTCCCAGCTCTGGAAGGTGGGGAAAGAGAACGAGAAACAAGAGAAGGGGAGAGAGTTGGAAGACTGTTCCCTGGATATTTTAGGAAGAGCGGGGTTGGGGGGTCACTGGAAGGACCCCAGCCCCTCAAGTGCAGCAGAGCAGAGGAGGAGGCAGGCAAGGCCGTGTTGCACTAGAGGGTGGAGGAGTGTCCCCAGGAAGATATGGAAGCTCAGGAGGCAGTGAAGGGGCTGGGGGAGGAGCAGAGGCAGGGGAGGCAGAGGCTGCATACCAGGCTGTATCCTGTGGAGATAAGCAGAGCCCTGAAGTCATCTGAGTCCATGCTGCCTGTCTGCTTCTGCTCCCAGGACGCAGGCATAGCAGAGGCCAGGCCCAGAGTAGGCCCCATGTGCACAGCGGACAGACAGCACAGTGGAGGGAGCAGGGAGGCAGGAGGCCCGGAGAGACCAGGTAAGGGGAAAAGTGACCAGAGAGACATGAGAGCCAGGGAGACAGCACATGATGGCAGGGGGATGGTGAGAGGGGGGAGAGAAGAGAGAGAGAGAAGAGCAGTTAATGCCACAGTCTGCTGGGGCCCCAGGGTGTGCGTACCTGCCGGTCATTCTCCACGTCGTAGCCCAGGCTGATGAGGCAGGCCTTGAATTCCTCAGGCCCCAGTGCCCCGCCATGGTCCTGCCGGGGGGCCATCGAAGGCAGGCGTACAGGGGCAGTGCAGAGACCAGGCCACAGAAGTGGGAGAGGGGCCAGGCCACATGCAGTGGACAGGGGAGGAGGACACATGGGAAGGGAAACACACAGTTAGAGGTGATGTAGACAAGGTGGTGGCCAGGGATGGGCGAGGCAGTTAGAGGGTCCCATGGCCTCAGTGGGGCTAGAGTGGGTATCATGGAGGACCTTTCCCTGCCTTCAGGAGAGAGGGATAGGAGGCTGCACACTGGTACCCACAGAAGCTGAGAAGCTGTGGTACTGGGTCAAGAGGTCATCAGGATCTGCATGGGGGACCAGAGTCCTATCTGCCTGGAGGGCAGGGTTCCTGCCCACCCTGGACAGTGGTCGATGGAATGGATGGATGCAGAGATGAAGAGGGTAGGACAGGACGAAACAACGGGGGAAAAGGCCACACTGTGCCAGCACGGGGGTGGGGGGACAGCCTACCTTGTCGAAGTGGTTGAAGGATGCCCGGAACTCTTGCATCTGCTCCTGGCTGATGCCCTTGGCGTCTCGGGTAAGGATCTGGTTCTCCACCTCGTTGATGGTGCGGGCAATGGTGGTGAGCAGCTGCTCCCAGCCCACGCGGATATGCTGAGGGAGGAACACGTTAGGGCTGGGGGAGAAGAGCCTCTGTACCATAGCTATGGGCAAGGGTCCTGGTTTCTCCTGGCTGCCCCTGCCAATCATGGGCCTCACCTACACCTATGTATATGGCAGAGGCACAAATGCCAAGATGCTTGCATCATACACAACTCTTTAGAGCTATGTTGGCCACTGCTCAATAATGGACCCTCCGAGGGGATGGAATCCCATGGCAACTTGTGGTACCATGTGTTGGCACACTGGAATGTGGAACTGGACTCTCAGGTTCCTAGCACAACAATGCTCCTCATACTAGGGGACTGCCTAACAAGGGCCAGGGCTTTTTGCTCAAGTAAGGTGGGGTGTCTGAAACTTCTGGTGTGCTCCAGGCTGGCTAGAATTACTCCCATTCCTCCTGCTTCTGCCCTAAAGACAAGGATTTGGGCTTGTCCAGCTTTTCAGTAACCTTTCCACAGTTCTTAAAAGGCGTAGTGTGTGTGGGCGCACCTCCATGGTGTAGTTGGTGTGCTTGTTGTCGAAGATGAGGGCCTCCTGGATGAGCTGGTGCTGCTGCTCCAGCAGGTCCAGGTTGGGCTTGTAGTCCACAATGCTGCGCTCGTATTGCTTCAGGTGATTAAGCTGGTCTTCCAGAGTTCCGTTCATCTCGATGGAGATGCGCCCGATCTCCTGCAGGGAGGAGATCCAGGTGACACCAGCCCTGGCTGCTGCCCCACCTGAAAGGCCTGCTGCTCCCTGCTGCTTTCATGCCACTCTCTGGTGCTGGCAGGAAGCCTGCATCACACAGCTAATCTGTGAGGCCCTGCACTGTGACAGGCTGACAGCCTTCACCTTTTGAGTGCACACAACTTCACCCAACATAAAGTTCCTCTGCTCCTTAAAACCGAGTAAAATAATATATATAAAAGGAGGGCAAGGCATTTGGCATCATGACTTGGCTGCTGGCTGAGCCCCCGTGCCCATGGCTCCCCATCACTGTACTCTGAAACTAGTACCAGCCCTGCAGCCACCAACACACAGAGTAGTGAGCAAAAGCACCGAAGTGGAAGGCAGGCCAGCTCCAGGCTCAGATCGGACAGTCGAGGCTCAGACCAGCTTTGGCCAATCTTTAGCCAGGCTTTCTTTTTCATCTGCTGACCAATAAGAGCTGAAATCAAGGTCTGCTAGAGTCATGAAATCTGCAGCCCAGGACACAGGGACCACACCCAGCTCTCTCAGTTGACAGGTAGCCTGCCTGGCCTCACCTCCATCTTGGTCTGGATCCAGGGCCCCACCACATTGGCCTGGCTGGCAAACTGTCTGCGCAGGTGCTCATTGGACTGCTGCTTGCTCTGCTCCTCCAGGAGCGCATGGTCCCGCTTTGGCACCAGCTGCTGCACCTGTGGGGGAGATGCAATAGCTGAGGTCAGGTGGTAGCTTCCCCACCTGGCCAGTCCAGCCCTTGCATGCCCAGAGGGCCCTGACCCACCTTCTCCCACTTGGAGTTGATGATCTGGGGGGTGACGGTGGTGTAGGGGTTACTGCCCGACAGTTTGATGTGGTTGCTCTCAGCGATCCTTTGGGCCTCCTTGTGGATGGCCAGTATGGCCTCACGCTCCCTGTCCGCATCTGGCAAGGTGGACTTGAACTGGTCATGGGCTGAGATCAGGCCCTAGAAGACAGATGGGAGTAAGGAGTGCAGCCTGCTCTCCGGAAGCTTTGGGGTAGGAGTGTCCCCTAGAGGGCAGGGTAGGGCACCTCAATCTCCTCAATGGTGTGGACGATGAACATGTCCTGCAGGTCCTCCATGGCACTCTCCATCCAGTTGTTGAAGGGTGCAGCCCGCTTGGCATACTCCAGGTGCAGCTGATCGATGGTCTCGAGCTGCTTCTCTGTTTTCTACAGTGTGTAAAGAGGGACAGACAGGAAAGGGAAGGCAGGTCAGCCAGACTTGGGGGCCTAGAAGTCTATAGATACCCAACATCCCCAAAGGGCATCAGGCTCTGGTGACACAGCCCTCCTCACCTCCAAAGCTTCCCTGCGACTGTGGGTCAGGGAGCCCAGGGCATCCCACTGGTCGCAGATCTTCTGGCACCGTGTATTGACATTGTGGGAGTCGTAGTAGTCCAGCTCACTGTGAAGCAGAGTGCGATGAGCCTAGCAGGTGGGCAGGGCTGCACACACACTACCCCGTCTATGGGTGACAGCACTGCAGAACACCCCGTTCTGGACTAGACAGGTTTCTCTGTAGCTTTGGAGCCTGTCCAGGAACTCGCTCTGTAGAGCAGGCTGACCTTGAACTCAGAGATCCGCCGGCTTCTGCCTCCTGAGTGTAGGATTAAAGGCGTGCGCCACCACTGCCTGGCTCCTTCCCCTACATTCTGAGTACTGATGTTAAAAGCCTGTACCACCACACCCAGTTCAACCTTGTACAAGTCAGAAGACAACCTTCTAGATTTGTTGCCTCCCTCCCACCTTGGGGTTTCTGCTGCTGGGCTGCATACTTCAGGCTAGCTGGCCTGAGAGCTTCTGGGAAGTCCAGGAGGGTTACACAGCATCCAGCTTTTAGTAGATTCAGGGGATTAAACTAAGGCTGTGAGGCTAATGTAGCACTGGCTCTCTTCAGCTTAGTTTTGAGACAAGGTCTCTCACTGAACTCAAGGGACCCTCTTGTCTCACCATGCAGATTTTTACGTGTGCTCTGGGACACAAACATGTCCTCATGCTTGTTTGAGAAATACTGCACAGACTGAGCAATCTGACCATGTGTGCTACAGGAGGCAGGTCAGAAGAGGGCACCAGATCTCATTATAGATGGCTGTAAGCCACCATGTGGTTGCTGGGAATTGAACTCAGAACCGCAGGGGAAGGGCTGCTCAGGGAGGAGCGCGCGCGCTCTCTCTCTCTCTCTCTCTCTGAAGGTACTTCCTCTAGAGCCATGTCTAAAATACTGTTTCTGGGACCTAATATCTGAAGAACAGGCTAACCCAGCCCTCCAAGTCTGTTTAGGGGCACCCCACTTGTCATATGAAAGTGCCTCCATTGCTTTCCTTAGTTTAGACAAGCAGGTATCTGGAGGGTAACACCATGGTACCAAACAATGTTATGGGTCCCCCAAGTACCATAGTTCAGCCTCTAGTATGCAAACAAGCACCCTGTAGCCCACAGTGGTAGGAATGAGGATCTAGCCCTGCTCCTATGGCCCCAATGGCACAGGTGGGAAGGCCCTGCAGTTTGTACAAGTCTGGGGTGACTAATGGGTGGGGATGTCTGCGGAAAGAGCAGCTCCAGCAAGGAACTTATTTTGGAGCAGACAGCTATTTTAGGAGCTCCTCCAGGACCTGCGAATTTTCCATGAAGTAATGGGCTAGGCTCCCACTCCCCAGGCCCACTGCAATGGTAGAATAAGGGCCCATTCACTGGCTCCTGAGGCGCAGTGTACTGTATGCACAAATTTATCTGACTGGGGCAGGGGAGAGGAAGACAGCAGCCATTTGGAAACTCTTACAGTGAATGTATTCTAAGCAGGAAAAACTGGGCAGGCAGAACAACAGGCTCACTGTACAGTGCTCCCCACATGGAGGAGGGGCCTGGAGAGCTACACCATGAGGCAGGCAGGGGAGAGGGACAAGCAACCAGAGTCTAGGTCCCTCACTCTTTTCATTGGTGTTGAAATGTAAGGCTCTCCCGGCATGAGGAGGACAGAACTCTACGCTAACGACGCCATAGGTGCACACATACTTGAGTTCCTGGGCAATTGCAGCAATCTGCTCCACGCGGTCCTGGTGTGCAGCAAGGTCACTCTCGAAGGCCTCGTGCTTGCGGATCAGAGCTTTGATATCTGACAAGGTGGCTGTCTCATAGTCCCGGTGCTTCAGCATGGCCTCCTTCCCTGCAGATGTGGCAGAGGGGCACCTGAACAACAGCCCATCAGCCACGGAGCTATCCAAGACGGGAGGTGAAGCAATATGGACCACATTTATTACTCTAGAGGATGGAGCTTAGAAACTCTTGGAACCGTCTTCCTTGCTCCTCAGGGATCTCTAAGCCCAGCTAGGTTCTGTGCAGGCTTAGGGGATTCCTGGTGTGCATGGGTCTGAGACAGATGTATCAGTGTAACTCCCGTGCTCTCAACAGCATCTCTTACTGGTGGGAGACACAGAGGGTAGGGCAGTTGAAAAGTTACAGACACCCATTTGTGGAGGATGGAGACGGGGAGAAGCCCTTGGGCTTGCAGCCAGGCCCAGCGGGATCAGGAAAGGGGTAGGAAGAGCCTGGGCCAGCTCTTTGGAGGCTGCTCTCCTGGGTGGTGGTCCTATCCCAATCTTGTCGCCACACCCACTTTCTTGGAACAGTGGGTGGGGCTGTTCAGACTCTTTGAAGGGAGAAACACTGTTATTAGTCCTGGAGCCAGGCTAATTACATGCCCAGAGCAAAAGCCCAAGCAGCAGTGCTAGTAAGTTAAGGGAGTATAGAGGACTGGGGGAAAAGCCAGCCAGGACGGCAGTCAGGACTCCACTTCTTCCTCAAGGAGCCCTGCTTCCAAGAGCCTCTGAGCCCACCCCCAGATCTGCTCCCAGAGTACCTGACAAGCAGCTGGCAGCCTTGGTCAATCTTTCATTTGTAAAACAGTGCCAGCGACAGCACCTATGTGGCCTTGAGCCATCCTGAATTTTAGTTAGGCGATGGTTAAGAAAAGAAAGCAGAGTCAGTGCCACCCCTGTCTCAGCCACGCCCAGGCTCATCTGCCTAGCAACTGCCAGGCGCCCCAGGCCAGGGCTGGCACCAACAGGCAAGAGGTGGGCCTGGAAAACTGACTCCACAGGCCTGCCACCCCTGCCCCAGGCTGGAGGGCTTAACCACAAGGCAAGCTTGCAATTCCCTTCTCCAAACTGCTTTCTCTCAAGGGTGGGAACCAGAAATAGCAGCTGAGAAAAACTCAGGCCTCAGCTGTTTCATCAGTGAACTGGCAAGTATGTCTTGCAGGGCAACCATGAGATATACATGAGACTCATTTGTGTTTGGTTTTATTCCCAGGCAGTCACGTCCCCCTGGGAAGCATCCGCGTGAACCCTGCCACTACTGAGCCCCTTCCCCCAGGGCAGGCTGCTGTAACTAGGACCCAGCAGTGGAGAGGGGCTATAGATCAGCTGTCCTCAGGATTTTACAATGATTTAGAATACAGGCTGAGCTCAGAAGAGTGGGCATGTTTGCCTGGGGACTCAGGGCTGGTGGGAGGGATAGGTGGGTGTGTGAAGATGTCAACAGAGATTGGGCCTATCTGCAGCTAGGGCTCATTCCTAAATTCCCCCAGTGCAAGCCTACTCTCAACTATTCCCAGAGGAGTCTCAGGAGTTACCATGCCCACAGCCTCATGAAACTAGCTGCCCACGCCTCTGGCAATCCTGAGCTGGGTATACCAGCTCATTTGTTGAGAACCATGGAATAATCTAGAAAATGACAGCAGAAAATACCTTAGCTATGTGAGGGGCACAGGTGTTATGGCATTCCTTACATACTTAGGGGCCCCGCAAGAGAAGTCTAAGCATATATGCCTGAGTCTTCTCGGGGCAGGGCTTACCCACTTGGGAAACGACGGTGCACAGGGCCAAGCACAGCTAAGTGACTCATATCCACAAGCATATGTGGGGTATTTTGTTTGGATTCTCAAGACAGGATCTAACACTGTAGTCTAGAATACTCTGGAGCCCTCTATATAGCCCATTGTGACCTTGATCTTCTCTGCCTCAGTTTCCCAAGTACAGAGATTACAAGCATGAATTGCCACATCTGGCTGGACATGTATGTGTGTTGAATGAGTTGAATAAATTAACCAAATGAGGCATCCAATGCCTCCAATGTGGCATCATACAGAGCCAAGGAAGGTGCTCTCACACCTCCTTGAAGGGGCACCGCATGTGAGGCAGGAGGCATTGACCTAGCTTACAGTGTCTTCTGTTTCTTACACGCTCTCCTTGGCAGAGAAGGAAAGCTGGGCTGCTTTGGGTAACGAGAGCAGGAACAGGATGAATGCAGTTTATGTGGGCTATATGCCCGCACAGGTGAGGAGGCTCCCTGTGAAGCCTTGGTGGGACAGATGGAAAATCACACAGAGCAGCCAAGAAAGGGCCAATCAGAAGAGCAGCAGTGGTGGGGAGTGGGGCGGGAAAGGGAGGTTTCCTCTGGAGGGGTTTCCGTGTTTTAGCATCAAGATTGAACCCAGGGCCACCACTGAGTAACAGCTGCCTGTGAGTGTGGCATGGTGTGCCCTTTCTTCTCAACATTCATTTTCTGAGGCCTTTAGGTCTCCTGGGCATCTGGAATCTCAGTGATGGAGTGGGTCTCGACCAGAGGCCAAGGACGTGATGGAATTCTACATCCTGAGCCAGAAGCCAGGCAGCTGCAGGGCTGCTGGGAAGCAGGCTTTGGGACAGGGTGGTGACAGTCAGGGAGCGCCAGCTTCAGATCTGCCTGTAGAGCCAGAAGGCGGCTGGAGAGATAAGACTTATGCATTTGGGCCAAGGTGGTGGGCTGGGAACTGTTCTCGGAAGAGACAGGACAAGTACACAGGCACAGGGAAGAGTCTTGGCTGTGTTCTGGATAATCCAGGAATGGGCTCACCTATAAGCCATCTTAGGTCAGAGCAAAGAGGCATAACGGAATGCCTTGCTGCTTAACACAAAAACCATAACCAAAACCTGCTTAACCATAAACCCAAAGCGGCATTTCTGCAGCCAGGAGAGGACCTTAGCAGACCCCACATGGCAGGGACTATGTGTGCATGCACACCTGAGAGTAGAGAACAGAGCGAGGGAACATGGGACACGTACCATCAGTCCAGGCCTCATGGATGGAGGCCTTTTGCCGGAACTTCTCTGCCAGGTGGTCAAGTCGCTCCAGCCTGCGGATCTCATTCAGCAGCCATTCTTCATAGCCTTTTTCAGCCTGCTCCAGGTGCTGCCAGCCATTATTGATGTCCTGTGGGGCAGGAGACGGAGAGCGGGGCTCTCACAAGGTGCTGGTGGGGAGGCCTACCTGAATCTTACCCTCAGTTCTGTCTACATGAGCCAGCATGTACTAATGCTCTGTGTGTGTGTGTGTGTGTGTGAGGGGGGGGGAGGGAGGAGGAGGGGGGGTAGATACTCATATAAGCCAGGAGATAGCTTTGAATCTCCAGGGGCAGGAATTATTAGGTAGCTGTGAGCTGCCTCATGGATGTTGGAACTGAACTCAAACACTCTGCAAATCCTAACTACTGACCATCTCTCTAGAAACATAAACATTGACTCTTCTGGTCTAACTGAATGATGCTCATAAATCAGTGGATGGATTCTGCCAAGGAGACTACAAAAGGTGTCTTGCTGTCTCTCCTTTTATGAAGGATCTCAAGACACTTGTTAGCCGTGGTGTCCACACAAACTGTGGTGTGGCTAGGGGTAGTAGTGCAGAGAGTTCTGTGTGTAAAACTAAGGAGAAACAGTGGAAAACGTGAAGCACCCTCACCATCCCTGCCTAAAGGCTGATTTAAGACGATGCCAGCCAAGCACTGCGATGCCCCGGGCCCTGGGGGGGGGGGGTAACTCACAGAGACCATCCTGCCCTCAGAGGGCATGAAGGCGGGCCGGTTGCTGAGACGGAGTTTCGTCTGCAGTGTGTTGAAGTTGATCTCTAGCTGGCACTTCTCCTGCACCTTGGGGGGCTTGTGAACACGCCGATAGTCTCGGAAGTCCTCCAGCTTCTGCTGCATCTCCTGGATGGTCTTCTGAGGTACACGGTCCTCCAGCCAGGGGATGGTGCGCCGGATCCACTCCAGAAGCTGCGGGCCCGTAGGAAGACATGGTGGCCATTGCAGAGGTGCTCAGAGTGCTGATGCGGCCTCCCCTCAGCTTACAGGGTCCTCAGGACTAACTTGCTACTCCTGCTGGGACCCTTCAGCACAGAGCTCTGGGAATGTGATGCTACTGGAGCACTGGGCTGACCCTACTTCCTGTTCATGCCTCTGCTCCCAGTCTTCCTTGCCCAGACTGAAGTGGGTAGTTCCAATCTACTGTACCTTCCCAGAAGACCCCCTTCCATTCACTGACATAGGACTTGTGACTTCTGGCCTCACTGACCACAGCTATAGAGACTCTTGGTCTGCCTGGGTTTAGGGACGGTAGCTGACACAATAGTAAGGGCCTACAGTGTGTTTGCCTCAGATAGGTGGCCAGTGCATACACAAGGCCTGTCACTGAAAAACAGAAAACTGAAAGAACAAACAAACCAACAAAACCCAAACCAAACATACTCTTATGACCCACTCTGATCTTTGACAGGGTGAGGAGGAATACAACAAGCCAACAGACTGGGCCATCCAAAATAATCCAGAACAGAGAAGTCAGGTATCACCAGCACAGATAAGCAGAGTGGCTTCTCAGTGGCAAAGACAAAGCCAAGAACAGAGGCACTGGGCTGGTGAACGGCACCCAAGAACGTGACTTCCATCTTGTCTTGGGAATGACAGTGGCCCCGTTTTTTTTTTTTTCTTTTCCTTTTCCCAGTCCTTGCAACCTTAAAGCCGGAGACGAGGATGTGCTTGGATGTGCTCACCTAGCACACATGAGGACCCATGTTTGACACCCGGCACCTCAAACCAGTATCCCTGAAGTACTCAGGTCTAGGAATCATGTTTCTAAGAATAGACATGCTCTTTGGAAACAGAAACTGAACATCTCGATGGGAACCAAGCTCTGGACTCAAACATGGTGACTGCCAAACCAAAAGTCCTGCACTCCATATTTTCTAGGTCTCACTGCTGTATCTGCTTTCACAGCAAAATAATGTTTGTTATTCTAGTACGAGAGGTTGGGGGCAGGAGGATCAGAAGTTCAAGGCCAGACTGGGCTACATAAAACTACATTTACTCCTCCAGCCTTCCTGTATACCCCAGTCCATCCCCCGCTCAAATTTTAAACCTTCATTTTTTTATTTGATGTGTATGGGTATTTTGCTTGCATGTATCTCTGTGTGCCACTGGCCCCCAAGGCCAGGAACTGAACTCAAGTCCTCTGGAAGAGCAATAGTTACTCCCCAGCCCTCCCTGCCTGTATTCACTCTGCTGGGACCTGGAGCACACTCACATCACTGGCCAGACGCTCGTAATCCTCCATCAGGTGTTCATTCTCTTGGTTCACAGCCAGCACCTTGCAGATCCGGTTGGCAGCAGTCTCAGCCTGGGATGGGGAAGCGCACAGTCAGGGCTGCCTGGGGCTGTGGACCCTCCCTCCTAACAAGCAGGCCCCTTGAAAGCAGCTTGTCCAAGACCCACAGAGAACTCCTCAAAGGAGGAAAGGAGAAAAGTGCGTGTCCAGTAGGATGATGGCCTTGAGCGGCCATGTCCTTGGGGGCCTTGTTGCAGAAGGGTGGCAAGCCCTTGCTTAGAACCAAGCCTCTAGTGCCCAGGAATGGGTAGGGCTGTTCTGAACCTAAGAACCAGAAAGAGTCTCCTCTTGAATGGGAGCATCACTGGAGGTGAGGGTGATGGTACCATTGAGTCCCTGTGGATAGTGCATGCTCTACCCCTCTGGCTCCTACTCAAGTGCAGCTGACTAAAGAAACTCATATGAGTACATCATGATTTGAGGGGCAGAAGGAAGCACAGGGAGGGTAGAGACACAGAGCTGGCCCCTGGTCTCAAACTCTAGAAACCTGGGTGAGGGGAAAGTGCCACACAGGAGAAGGGAGACAGGTACCTTTCAGGCAGCACAGAAAAGGTCCAAGAAGAGTTGGAACGGCAACAGAACAGGAACAGAAATAGTGAGGAGGGTCTACAGAGTGATGAGGAGGAAAACAGAGGCTCGGGAGCCAGCTCCAGGCCCAGTGCGCTTTCCCATACACACGTGGCACAAGGATAGGTAGGGCCGACAGAGCAGTCACAGGCGGTGTTAATCTAGGTGGACACGCACGCCACAGGCCATGCTGCAGGAAGCACCCAGGACTAACACCATGACTTGTTCTGGGGTGAGACTCACAAGGGCCTATGCTGGAGGTGCTGCTGGGGTCAGCTTCTTCTGACCCTAACCAAGCATACCACTTACTGCTGGTACCCCAAGCTCTAGCCTCTTCTGCTGCTAGGGTGCTGTCAGCTAACTGTTCTGCTTCATTGCTGGGCTTGGAACATTGTAGGTGCTCAGGACTGATAAGTGTGTAAAGGAAGAACGAATGCTTTGGTGACCATACACAGGGAAGATAGCACTCTTGTGCTAAGCCTAAATTCACCCATAAAACACTTTTTGAGGAGAATGCATTGACCTCTGGGGAAATGACAGCAACAGTAAAAGGCACTGCTAGGTGTCCTGAGGGTACATTCTTTGATGAGAAAATTAATCTAGCAGAATTCCCCACTTTCCTCCCTGCATAACTAGGCTGACATCTACCTTAGAGGGTATGCCAAACACAGCTTTCTGAGCTCAGATGTCCCCAAACTTGCAACTGCTCTGCCCTGGACTTCTCTGCCAGTAACTAACCAACTACTCCCTCCACCAGGCCCAAGGTCAGCTCCAAGTGTGGGGGCATTTCAGACAGGAGGAAAAGCAATCACAACCTGAGGCTAGGCGGTGGGCATGCTGTTAATTGGAACTGCACTACTTATTCCCACTCAGTCTTCCTTACCAGCATGCGGGGGAGATGGGGCACATCCTCCCTCCCCGTGTCCGCCAGCAAAACAGATACAAAACCTAACCCATGCTGGGCAGATCGGAAAGGGGCTCTGAAAGCTGGCTATTTGGGGAGGGGTCTAGAAAGAAGTGGGCAGCCTTGCTGTTTAGGCTCGAAGCTCATCGTTTGATGCCTAGGAAAATCCTGTGAGGGGCGATAGGATTCTCACCTTATAAATGAGAAACAGGTAAAGTAGCCTGTGCAAGACCATGTGCCAAGAGGTGGCAAAGCAGGGGCAGGCCCGACTGTCCACAGTGAGGCACTCACTGTGTATAACAGTCTAAGAAGGCAACCTACAGGGAGCTGGATAGATGGCTCTGTGGTTAAGAGAACCAGCTGCTCTTCCAGAAGATCTGGGGTTCAATTCCAAGCACCCACATGGCAGCTCACAACTGTCTGTAACTCCAGTTCCAAGGGATCTGATACCCTTATACAGACATACTTGTGGGCAGCAAAAAAATCATAGCATATGAAATAAAAATTAATCATTAAAAAATGTTAAAAAAAAAAAGAAGAAAAAGGCAGTCTAGGGAAGACAACAGGTACAGTGTCTGAGCCTCAGTTTCCTTTCCTTGGAGAGGGCCCAGCGAAGCAAATGTTCCCCAAACAAGCAACCACCCCTCCTTAGCTCCTGGGCCACTAAAATGATGCTGTTGTCCAAGCCATTTTTCTAGATCAAAAGGGCAAAGAAGTGCCCGGCCTTCTACATAGAAACTTGAGTCCCTGACAGGAGCCAGGGGTGGTGTGAGGTCAGCAGACCTCAGGGAGACACAGGGCAGAATAGACAAGAAGACCGTCCTGCCCTCACAGGCCCCAGAACCAGCCTGCTCTCAGAAGTTTTCTGAAAGGAGACTCACCAGGCAGGTAGCCCTGAAGTAGAGGCAGCGACAAGCAAGGGGTCATGCCCCAGCTTTATCATCCATAGTGATATTGGACTTCTGTTTCCCTGTCTGTGGTTAGAGCTGTGTCACCAGCTCCCAAAGGTGGCTATGCTCAAATGCGAGACTGAGGCTTTGGGATGGACACAGCCTGAGGCTGGTCAGCCAGGCCTCTGCCCAGGTACCTGTGGACCGACACTGCTGACTTGAGTGACAGAAGGGTCCTCCCACCCTGGCTCACCTTCTGGGCCCCCGAGAAAGCGTGGTAGAAGCAGGACACGTAAGTCATGATGGCCTTCTCATCTGGCCTCAGAGTGCCCACAATATCTGCGCAGAGAGAGAGAGAGAAAGAGAGAGACAGGAGAGAGTGAAAGACGCAGGAGGGAGGTGGCCAGCCGGCCCAAGGCTCATGCGGGAAGAATAGTGCTTGCTCTGGACTGGAAGCCAGTGGAGCTCAGGTCTGGGGGATATTGCGCTGCCAATGTGTGCAGAAGGGCTGTTTTTTGAAACCTGAGTAGAAAGAATTGGGTCACCTGAACTAGCAACCATTTTTGCATAAACTCCTAATGATGTTGGGCACCCGGGAGGTAGAGGCAGAAAGAGCTAAAGTTTGAGGCCAACCAGAAGCTACAGAGTAAAATTCTGCCTCAAAGAGTCAGGCATAGTGTCACACACTGACAATCCTGAGTGTTCACTGAGTGTTCAAGGTCAGCCTGGTCTACAGAGAAAATCCTCCTAGGATTCCGGGACACCAGGGGCTATATCAAAAAGATGCTGGGGGGGGGGGGAGAAAATAGGCCGGGCAATGGTGGTGCACACGCCTTTAATCCCAGCACTTGGGAGGCAGAGGTAGGTGGATCTCTGTGAGTTCAAGGCAGCATGGTCTACAATGTTAGTTCCAGGACAGCCAGGGCTACAGAGAAACTATACTGAAAAACAATCAAAAAATAAAAAACAAAACAAACAAAAAACCAACAACAAAACCCCAAGTGGTAGAACTTGCTAGCACTTGGGAGGTGGACAAAAAGAGTATCAGAACTTTTTACAGCTGGCTGAGCTACGTGAGGCCCTGTTTCAAAAACAAAACAAAATAATAAAACCCAAAATACAAACAAAAAACAAAACTGGAGAGATAGCTCAGCAGTTAAAAACTAGCTGCTCTTCCAGAAGACTTGTTCAGTTCCCAGCACCCACATCCATCCAGCTCACAACCATCTGTAACTCTAATTCCAGGGGATCCAACACCTGGCCTCCCTTGGCAGCAGGTACACGTGGTCCACAGATACAGATGCAAGCAAAACACACACATAAAATGAAAATAAATACCCCCCTCCCCCAAAAGAGAACCCTAGGCAAAGGTCTCCCAGGCCCTAGACTAGAGTGATGCACAATTGCCTACAACTAGCTGCCTTTTGCCACTTTGCCTGCCTCAGTCTCCCCAGGTTCGCCTCCACACTCACCTCATCCTGCCTGTGCAGTCTCTGCTTCTGGTGAAGCCCCTTTCCAGCTGATAGTCCCAGCTACCAGCGGACCCAGCTGCCTCTACAAACCACCCTGTCCCCTGGCCTCCACTGACTCCTCATCACGTCACATGACCTGTCTGCCTCATCTACTAGGAAGTAAGCTTCTCTGAAGCAGGAATCTGCCTGTGTCCTCACGGCCTGAAGAGAGCCTAGTATACAGTAGGCACTCAATTGACTGAGCAAGGACTAGATAGGCGGCAACACCCAGGACTGAGGGAGCTGGCTTCTAGTCCAAGAGAGGTCACTGCTGTCTGCAAGAGAAATGAAGTGAGCATGGGAGGCGAAAGGCAGCAGCGGCATTGGGCAGTGGCGGCGAGGAGGGCTGCCTGGCCCTGCCCGGTACCTTCTGCGCTCCTGAAAAGGCATGGTAGAAGCTGGATACATATGTCATTATGGCCTTCTCGTCGGGCCGGGCTGTGTTCACGATGTCTGTAAGTGAACAACAAGGGTTAAATGGCCCAAGCATGGGTGAGGCCACTTGTTAGGACCCACAGGCCCCCAAAGTCACAACTAAGCCAGGGGAAAGACCCTCTAAGCTGATTCAAGGCCAGTTAGGCTGAGCTATACCCTAACCTCCCCCATGGTCTCAGAAAAGGCCAAAGCTGTGGGAACTGAACTGGAATGAAGCCACTTCCTTTCTCTGAGAATGGCCTCAAGGGGCAACAAGACAGTGAACTCCAAGGGCCACCAGAGGCCGGAGGCATGGGTCTTGGCTGGGGATAGTGTTGGCTGGGAAATGGAGCAAAGAGCCGGAAAAGGAAAAAACAACATTCCACTTTGGCAGGCTCCAGACCCCAGGTCTTCAGTTGGTCAGGAGAGGCCCGGGTCATTAGTAGGAAGCCAGGGGTCAGCCTCTTCAGCCACCTTGCCCCTCTGCGAGTCTAGACAGTCCGTGATCCCAGAAAACTGACTATTTAATCACTGTCCTTTCCCCTTTTCTGCCATTCTGGATGCAGCAGGCCAACTCTGGCTCATGTTACCACTTCGGGCTCACACGACCTTTCTCTCTGGCTCAGTGAGATCCCCGAGGTTTCCCTAGGCTTGGTGAGTTGCAGAGCCCAGCCAAAGCTAGGCCCAGACAGATGAGGTCCCAGGAACATAGGGAGGTGCTCACCCTCAGCATCCAGCATCTTGGGGATATCAAGGTATTTTTCAGCCACTTCAAAAGCGTTGTTCAGGTTGGTGACTGGATCATCCTGGGGGAGCAAGGATGGAGAATTCCATCAGGAGCAGAACCCAGATAAATGTAAAAGGCAAGGGGCTGGCCTGAGACAGGAGCAGGGTTGGGAAGTGCCTTAGGACTTTTCATCCCTGTGTGCTATCCAGGGAGAAAGGCTTCCGCAGTCAATCCCTGTGTTCTAAGCTCTGCAGGTGAAGTCCAGGCTTGGGAGTAGAACACCCCAGTGCCTATGCAGGACCCCACTGCTGCAGGAACAGCTAGGGCTGCTCAACAAGCCTGATCTGCTTCACTCCCCTCACCACTTCTCAATCTCAGCAGAACCCCTGCTCCTGCCACACCCAAGCAGGCTGGGTACAGTACTCCGCAATGTTCCTGACTGCGTTCTCAGTCTCCAGGGCCCTTCTCCAACAAGAGCAGCTCAGGGTACCAACATGATGCAGCAGCTGGCTGGCTGCTTTGGACATGGTTCCCTGCCTTTTCCAGGAGATTAGGCTTTCAGCTTTGTGTAAGAAAATAAGAGCAAGATTGCACTGGAAATGGTGGCCACCTGGAAGATTTGAAGCTCCTTTCCTCCCCCAGAGGGAAGAATGTTTCTAGAATCCAAAAGGTCAAGAAAGGGGGTCAAAGGTCAAGCAAGACAGGACATAAATCAGTCCAGCCAGTTGTAATGCTAATGAAGGGAGATAGACAGTGCCCATCCAGGGTGTCTAGGAGGGGAGTGTCAGCAATCGGCAGCCCCTGGGGATAGGAACCAGAGACACTTACCTTCCTCAGTTTGTCATACTCAATCAGCTCAGGTCTGTGCCGGTGGATGAGGGCATTGAAGGCCAGACCATCCTTCCAGCTATAAGAGAAGGCAAAGGTTATGAGCTGGGTCCTTGCTACCCTGGGAGTCCTGCTCACCCCTGTGAGCCTACAGCAATGACTAATTCCCAAAAACAGAAGGCTCAGTGTGCAGCAGGCACTGCAGCGACACAGTATGCCAGGACTGAGCACAACCTCAGAAGCCAGACAGTCGGGGTAAGGTATGGTAAGGTAGTGATTTGGCACCGACAATGTGATTCTGAACAAATCACAGAACTGCTTCCTCAGTTTTCAAGCCTGTAAAGTAGGGATAGTGGCAGCAGCTATCTCAGAGCTGCTACGAAGATTAGATTAATGCTTTCACAGAACCTTACAAGGGACATGTACTAGGCCGTTTGCTCATCGGTGAGCCGAGCACTGCATACAAGGGCTCATCAAACAGGATAGGCCAGCACCAAGGGACAGCTCACTATGGAAGGTGGGTGGGATCCTGAACCCTGGCTGACCCAATCATGGAGGCACAGGCCAGGGGTGGGCAAAGTGCCTGGGAGTTGGGTGGCCTGAAGTTCTCTAGAGCAAAATGATCCCTACAAAGTCACAGGCTAGATTAGGTACATTGCCTTCCCCAAGATCCTGTTAGGATTGGTTCCTTCCAGGATGGATTTCTCTATCACCTGCTCAGAATGGCTCTCCTCCCTACTTCCCATTGCCTCACTGTTTGAAATGAAACGAGCAGCCCAGCCATTTGTATCTGGGTTGCCTACTGGTCCTCTGTTGGAAGGCAGGTGAACCCTGTAGCGAGCCAAACAGTGAGGTCAACTGCAGGCAGCAGAGCCACCAAGAGAAACCAAGTGCTTTGAAGGACAAAGCACAACAAGCAAGGTCCTGATATCAGCATGCCCCCCCCCCAAGAGAGGCCAAGAACACAGCGGGGGTCCTGTGGCTCCTGTCCCAGAGGCTTAGGTAAAGTCGTGCACTGAATGAGTCTAAGTTCAGGAGAACCCCAAGCAGACAACTGCCTCCTGCTGCTCTGGTTTCACGTGGCACAAACTCAGTCTACTCTGTCTATAGTAATTGCACCTATCCTGACTCCCTCACCCCAGGAACAGCAGATCCCTTGGCAGGCTGAGTTTTGCTCACCTTAGCAGATGGAGGACACCTCTTAAGCTAAACACAATAGCAATCTACGCACTGGTCCCTCTTGCGAAGTCCAAAAAGCCTGTGGCCTCTGAGAGCCACCTTGCTTGAGGAAGAAGTGCAGGAGATCCTGCGGCTCTTTTAAAAACTCCTGTCTGAACAGACTTTCCAGTAAGCATGCAGGGGCCCATCAGGGACTTACTGAGGACTGCTATATCCCAGACCAGGACGGAAACATAAGGAAGCGCCTACCTGATATGGAAGTTCTGGACGTTGACGTTTTTATATGGCGCTGTTTTTCTCTGGCACCAGAGGAGGAGCCCTTCTTTGGCAGAGGTCTCTGCAAAGCAGACAATGACAGAAAGATAAGATCACAATTAAAGCACAGAATTGGGCTCAAGCTGAACAGGCCTTTAGCCTCAGGTCTGGGACAGCAGGCGTCATAACAACAGCAGCAAAGGCAGCCGCTCCCATTCTGGATGTGAATAGAGTTCTGCCCACCCAGCTGCCAGTACACAGAGCCCAGATCCAAGAAGCCTTGTCACACTGGGGCTACCCTAGAGAGTGGCAAGGACAGGATCTGAACCTGCTCCCTGTCCCTGACTAGGCTATGATCAGTCACTAGGACACATGGTGTGTGAGTCCTGGAGACTGGCCTCAGGACTATAAGGAAAATAAGACCCTGGAAGCCATCTTTTCCTAGAGGGAGTCCTATGAAAACAGGAACACATTTATGGGGTCACCATACTGACCCAGCACCCAGGAGTCCCACAATTCACTGGCCTCATGGTTTTTCTCATTCTGTGGTGCACATGAAGGCTAGGTGGAAGTGGCAACATTCCTGGATGGCCTAAGCAGGCCAAGACGCACACCCTCAATGGGTATGTTGAGCAGAAAGAGAAGAAGCCAAGCCCAACTCCAACTGCGTTTGTTCTGTGTACAACAGTGCCAGTCATTCTGGTCTACTTCATGAGGAGAACAGGGGGTTGGTTCAAGAACTGGAGGTCACAGAGCACGAGTGGGACCAAGAAGGGCTGGGCCCCAAGCAAGCATGGAAGCATGGAGAGAAAACTGGGGGTTCTTTCTTAACACACCCATCCTAGAGAGTGAAGAGGCAGCTCTCTGCCACGTTTACCTTCCACCGAGATGTCTTGGATGGCGAAGCGGAGGATGATGGTCCAGATCATTCCCAAGGTCATCTTTGCATTGCCATCCACAATCTCTGCACATGGGACAGAAGGCAGGGGCAGAGAAGGCTGCTGATGAGCATCAGGCTCCTTACCTCACCCCAGGACTAAGTAGGTCTTTACTCACTCCACTGGCTTTACTGTCACCCAAGGACCAGCCACTTCCTTTCTAATCCCCTTGCCACCATGCACGTGCTCTCCTGCACAACTAGACAGTGCTGTCTTCTAGTGGGTCTGCAGCCTGCATCAACGCACTTGTACACAGCAGGCAGTATTAGGAAAGCATTCTACCACTTGAGCTCTAGGGAAGAGAGGAGAATGCAATGTCTGTCCTGTCTTCCCAGTTGGAGATCAAGACACCGAGCAGGGCTACTTGCCCCATTACTGCATGGGACCAAAAAGCTCTCCTATCAGGAAAGCTAAGCTTTAAGAGGGCTGGGTCCCTTCAGTCAAGGGACATGCCCTACCCCACAGCCGACACAGGTATAGGTTGGGCAGAGTTCTGGGAAGAAGAGGCATGATACATCCACCAGGTGCTTTTGTGACCTACAGCTGTGCTTCAAACTGGTCCTCATAATCCTGAGGAAGAAGTCATGTTCTTCGATTGTCAGACCATTTAAGGGGCCAGGGCCAGTGTTCTTAAGCATTTCCCATGAAGCTGCCCTGTACCCTTGTCTAGGCATGTGACAGTCATAGGGATTGGGACAGAATCACTAAGGGCTTCAAGAGGACGGGAACATTTGCAGACAGAGCTTTTCCCCAAATGAAGTGGGGCCTGGAAGGCAAGTGGGTCCCTCCGTTCACCCCTCTGTGTTTACAGACAAGCCTCTGAGCAAAACAAACGCAGCTGTGAGAGCGCGGGCTGGAGCGGAGCCCGGAGCAAAGACCCATGAGAGGACAGAAAATCTCTGGGCCTTACTGAATGTCGGGGTTTGGGCTTTTTAAACAAACACCAACCACCTCTACAGTGCCATGCAAGGTTTGGCACTCCTCTCCAGAGGTCCCAGGCTGGCGCAGGGCATTGGAACTCAGAGGTGCACATTCTGGCCTAAAGTCCTGGCCAAATTCTCAGTCCTATCATTAACGGCAATTAGTTTTCTTTGTTTTTCTCAAAGCTAGAACGGCACGGATGTCAGGGAAAGAAACTCTGCTCTGACTAATGAGCAGAGCTGGGCCCGGCTGCTGGCAGCCTCTGGGCTCCATCTAAAGGTGCCTGGGCCCTAAGGAGCTGCTGTTCTAGAGTGGGCTGGCCTGCAGCTGGTGGCACAGACTTGGGAGTCCATTCAGGAGGGGGTATCTAGGTCGTGTACTCAAGTCTATGAAGCTGGATCAAAGCCTAGGGGCTGAGTTTTGACCTCGGACATCCTGTACCAACACCCTGCTCAGGCTGTTTGCTCCCTTCTCTCCTTGTATTTCCTTCTACCCATATGGACTAGGCAGATGCTCTTGGCAAACAGAAACCAGGTCATGTACAAAGGGTCTAGTTCACAAGGACTCTTCCTCACCCCTAATGCATACTTGCTTTTCCTTACGGATGCAGAGACTGAGGATCCTTCATGCTATCAAAGGCAGTAGCTCACTGCTGCTCACTGCTGAGAAGGCACTGGGGTTGGAAGTGCGAAGCTTTCTGCACTTGGCACAAAGAAATTCTGCCTGGGAGTACAGCTGCCTGGGCACCCATCCCTGCTCACCTTCTGCCCCAATGGACACTAGCTTGACTCCCTTGCTGGCGATGAAGTCCAGGGCTTTGTTCACATTGTTGATCTTGTGCACCCGCATCTTCCCCCGCTCTGGCTTAGGCAATCGCTCCCCTGGGAAGACGGAAGACAGGTGATGAGGGTCTTTATAGCTGCCCAAGACACTCCAGCCTTCCACACAGGCTGAAGCTCCTCCCGGTGGCAAGAGGATAGTGGCAGTACCTGCCAGGAAAGGGTACAATGTGGGCTGCCCAGTGCTCCCTGAGCCTCACCTGAAATGACCTCCAGGAGAAGCATGAGTTTGAGCCCGTCCCGGAAGTCCTCATCAATGTTCTCAATCTGAGTGCCAGCCTTCCGCAGGTGGGAGTTGCACCAGGCTGTGAAGGTCTAGGGAAGAGAACAGAGAGGGGATGAAAGGTGAACAAGCCGTCAGGGTTTCCACCAGCAGTACTGACCCTGAAGCCACCTTCTACACACACCAGGACTTAAGACAGGGTCTCATGTAGCTCAGGCTGGACTCAAACTCATAGCCCTTCTGCCTCCAACTCCCAAATACTCAGATGATAAAAGTTTGGCACCACATCCAGCTACATAAATTTTCTTCCTGGTCTTAAAAGTGATCCAGGCAGGCAGTTAAAGAGGGCACTGACAGCTGGGCAGTGATGGCATACACCTTTAATCCCAGCATTCTAGAGGCAGACAGGTGGATCTTTGTGAGTTCAAGGTTAGTCTGGTCTACAGATTGAGTTCCACAACAGGATCCAAAGCTACTGAGAAACCTTGTCTTGAACCCCACCCCCCCAAAAAAAGAGGGCACTGAAGCCTATGGTAAACATGCCAGCCACAAAACCACGTGAGGAATAACTTAAATGTGGACCTCAATGCCAAGACTACAGAAAGTGTCACTGCTAGTGTGCCTCACTGGTAGGCTCTGGATGCTACAAACAGGCCTAGGAGCATAGGACCTTACTCCAGGCAGACACTGGTTCAGGGGGGCTTTCTTTACCTGGCAGCCCGCTGAAGGAGAACCTAGGCCATGACCTTCCTATTGCTGTCAGATACGAGGGTGAACAAAGCAATCCACAAATCAAGACACACTGGCCTTTCTCAGAGCTGACATAAGGTAGCCTGGCAGCCAAGCCCTCCCAGTTAAGGTCCAATTTTGTCCCACAGTTTGCTGTCTTGCAGGTCAAATACCTGGCTTCTCTATATGGCCCACTCTTACAAATCTTGGAAACTAGATGTGCCTTTCGGGTGATAAGGTAAATGGAAGGCAGCCACATCTGAGGAGTTTCTGAAGACAGGCAGAAGGTGAAAGCACATGTTCTGGGATGGAGAGCTGCAATACTGCAAGCAGTGGTAGAACACCCAAGTGCAGGGCCACTCAGCACCTGCAAGCTGGAGCGTGTTGTCTGCCACAGAAGCGACTCACGTCAGTTAATGCCAACAAGCCTAGGCGTCTTCTGGGGAAACTGGCCCTCGCCCTCCCACAGCACGATCTGGGAAAACCCAAGCCTCTGCTTCTCCTAGGAGCCCCCAGAACAGAAACAGGCAACCCGCCAGGAACATGCAAGAGCACATTCCATGCCTGGGGTGTAAGCAAAGGCCACACGGGGTGCCAAGGGCTTCCATGGAGCCTCTGGCCAAGTATCATGTGTTTTGACAACTGCTGTCAGGCCTGCTCATTCAGAGACTCCACACAAAACACCTCCCAAACAAAGATGCTGTCTAATTAATAGACAACCTACAATGAGGACTCAACAACCGACCTCCACTGCCATGCAGGGTTCCTTGACTGGGAGACAGAGAGACCCCTCCTGGTTGCACACTGCTATTTCTCAACTAACCATGCCTCTGCCTACTTTGTGGCCTGGCAATAGAACCACCACTTACCCATCACTCAAAATGCAACCCATGTGGGTGTGTTAGTTAATACATGCTTATAATTCCAGCAATCAGGAGGCTGAGGCAGGAAGATCATAGTTTGAGGACAAACTGAGGTACTCAGACAAGCACTCTGTGCAGTGAGCATCAGAACACCTCTCTTGGTCTCCATCCCCAGTGGCATGCTTCTCCAGGCGAGGGACCCCAGTGCAGGTTCTCACCTAGCTGTTTGTGGACACCCTCCCCGTACAGCCCCATTTCCCTTACTTTCTCTTGGTAGCTCTGAATACAGACAAACCAGGTCTAGACCTGGCTATAATTCTCTGAGCCAAGTTTCCCAACCTTTCCTAACATCCATTTCCTTTTCTGTAAGGTGGCAATGAAGACACCACTGGGGCTGTCATCATGCACTAAGGGCACGGCAATGTCAACATCTCCCCCAAATGCTTGTTCTGTGTTCTGCTCCCCCAGGACTGCAGGCAAAGACCATGGTGCTCCTCAAGCAGCATTTTCTACCCACTTCCCTATCTTTATTTTTTCCTTTTTTTTTTTTTTTGGTGTGTGTGTGTGTGGGGGGGGAACTAGCCTTTCTTTCACTATGTAGCTGAGGTCAGCCTTGAATTCTTTTAATTTTGAAGGTCGAAAGAGGGCACTGAATTCCAGGGACTAGAATCACACGCAGTTGTGAGCTCCACATGAGAGCTGGAGACTGAACGCAGGCCCCAAGAGAACAGTCAGTTCTCAGCCATCCCTCCCACCTAAGCTCTCAACTCCTGATCCTCCTGCCTCTACCTCCCAAGTACTAGGACGACAGGTGTAAACTATCATGGCCTTTTTGTTTATCTTACTGGGCTCTAGCAGGCACTCAGCCTTCTTGTCTGAAACAGTGTGGGTAAGTACGGCAGTCAGAGGATGAGCTGGGGGGGATAGAGCTTAAGGGAACGTGGTCCAGAGTACAGTAGCAGGCGGGGCTGAGCATGCTGGGTCTCCGCACTTGATGTGTGTGAAAGATAGGACAGACCACAAAGTGACCAAGTCACATCTGAAGGACTGAGCATATAGAGCAGCTCCCCGGTACTCAGATACTGCTCTGAGCCCAGAGCACGAGCCTGCTGCCCAGGTCTACATGGGTTCCTTCAGCATGCTGTGGGAGGAGCATAGATGAGAATCTCAATGCCAGCTTCTTGGGTGTTCTGTGCAACTGACTTCCCCAGTGCAGCTTGTCTCCTGTCCTGTAAGACAGATTGATCAGAACCCACCTCCTGAAGTGGCTCTAAGGATTAACTGTGGGGAAAGGCACACTGAGCATCTGTCGCGGGCCCTGGCAGATATTCAGTGCCAGATGAATCATGCACTCTGATGGTTCGTTCACTCCTAACCAATCCCCAGGAAGTGTAGGATGCCCTCCCTCTGTGCAGGTCCGCAGCCCACTCCTGCAGTTTTAGAGGAGAAATGAGATTGCAGGAGACTATGATAAATCCTACTAGCCAGGTGTAGGCCACCTGTGCTCACAGGGGCTGCCACTTGCCCTTGAAACACACCTTCCGCCTGCTCTGGGCAGTAACCTTGGGTGGATGAGAAAGCTGAATGGAGACCTTAATCTCTGCTAAGATGAGGATTAAAAAGAGTGATGCGAACCAGCCATTTAGCCCTGGGCCTGGCACATGAGATTCTCAATGTCGTACGCATGCCAAAGGCCTATTCTGATGAGTGGTGGCTGTGCCACGGGCATCTGTCTTTCTGCCTGCAGAAAACAGAGCAAGTGCCAGGAGGGCACTCACTTATCAAGAGGATAGGGAGGTTCCAGGGATTTCTGCTGATGTGTGGCTCTCCTGTCCTGAGCTAAAAGCGAGAACAGTGCACGCTCAGGAAGCCACATGGGGGACAAGCGACTGCAGTCACCACTGCTCCATGCAATAAGACTAGCAAGGGGGCGGTAGGGTTGGAAAGGACATTAAAAATTCATAGCTTTTTATTCTTGGTTACAAAAATAACCCTCTGCTCAGATTCCCTCTCTCCCACAGTACAGACCAGCACTGTTTTGTGGGTGACACAGAGGGCGGTTTCTATAGCTGGAGGCCCCAATTCATGCCCGCCCCAGCTTCTTCTACTATGCACGATTCCAAGGCCTGCTTGCAACAATCCAGGTGTCTGGAGTCTTCCATCTGCTAAGTGTCTCCAGGCCAGGCCCGTGGAGTGCCTAGCAGGAACAAAACCCTGACAGAAAAGATGGACATGGAGGCTTTAATCACAAGGCTCAAGTGGATCTCTGGGGGTCTAAGGCCAGCCTGGTCTACACAGAGTTCCAAGACAGTTAGAGCTATGTAGAGAGACCCTGTCTTAAAACCCAACCAAATAAAAAACAAAAACAACAAACCAAAAACCCAACAATGCCCGATAGAAGCTGAGCTGACATACCCCAACCCCAAGCAGAGCCAACAACGACCAATCCACATTCCACATCAAACACACCTTAGAGAGGAGACCATAAACCACAGCATATGAGTCACAGCAGTCACCGTCAGCACCACCCCACAGGCCTGGTCGCATACTAGCATCTCTGTGCTGTTGTCTGACAGGAGAGGAAATGGAGAGCCTCAAGTTGAAGCGCTGCCCACACCAGTCATACCCACCAACCTGAACTGCAGCAGGCACTGAGGCTTCAGAGGCTCCTTTAAATACCACAACTGCAGAGAATTTAGCAGGTGTGTGTGCACACGTGTGAGGCTGAACAAGTAGTAGCGTGAGGGAGTCACAAAGAATAAGACAGGTAGTGACACAAACTTGTGCAAAGGCCCTGTGGCAGAAAAGGCAGAACCTGACTGACAAGCAGACCAGCTTCATGGGGTCTTTCAAAGATGGTAGGGACTACTGCAGTGTAATAAAGAGCAAAGGCCCACATGTCACGAGGAGGGAGAAACCATGTCAGGGGTGCCTGGTTTGACTGAAAAATGCAGACCTATGATCTCAGTCTTATCAGGAAGGAACCAGAATGTCAATATGGGTCCTGTAGCATTGGGCTGGTACTGGAAAGTCAACAAATTTCAAGAAGGTGCCGTCCTTGACGAAGCATGTAAGGTCCTTTTGGGGTGGCCATTCTGCTCTCAGTTTGTCAGAACTACCCAAAGAGGAAACCACCCCACGAAGGTAGCCTTTCCTGGCCTCTGACCTAACTTGGGAGGAAGGATGTGGGCTGCTCGCCTTTGAGAAGGCAGGTAGAAACCCACAGGATGGCCTTCAGAGCCTGCCCTGCCTGCAGTGAGCTGGAACCTTCTCTAATTTTAGGAGCTGGAGGCAGGAGTGAAAAGGCAGGGAGAGGAAAAAAGGAGTGTGTGCCTGGTACTGCCTCAGTAGGGCTTTCTGCTTTGTCATGCTTGGGTGTTGGGGGGCGGAGGCTTGGCACTGCAGGTCATAAAGTCCTTCCTGTACCACAGGGACCCTCCCAACCACCAGGATGTGAGGTGGCTGGGTGAATGAATGATGAATACAGTTTGGGAGGTGAC